TCGTTAAGTGAGAAACAGCACACCATACATTAGCCTCCTCCGTACTCTGCATACTAGAAATTTGAATATGCGAAATGCTAAATTACGAATAAATTGGAGCTGCGACATTGAACATATGATAAACATTAACTTGTAATTGTAAAAACTCTAGAAACTCAATAGAGCAAGATCTGTATTTACAAGCGTAAATTTAATTTTCCCTGAAATTGAGATGTGCGAAAATTCAAAATTTGTTTAGTTTTCTTAATAGTATGTAAAATGCACTAACATGAAGGAACAAACCTTGTTGTATCCATCCACCGGATATGGGAATGTTTTCCAGCTCCCAAAACAAAAGGAGAATCAGTTCCCTTCTGCTTGTAACATAAATTCTTAGAGCATGCATTAGCAATCACGTATCTGCAAAATTAGCAAATGTACTTTATCTGCTTGAAAGAAGAAAGTTGTCGAGAGATGAGTGGTAAGCACAGGAATTGACTAAAACATCATGACATCGAAAAATACCTGGGTTGGAAAGTTATCATTTTTGTCCTTCCAGAAAATGATGCAGTCGTAGCTGAAACGGATAAGACATAGCCAGATGCTATGGATGGTTGAGGAACAAGAACACTGGTTGACCCAGTTGATGGGACTAGTGAAAATGGGGTTGACCATGAAAGCTTTGGAAAATTTTCCATAACAGAAGGCAGGTACCTACTTAGCTTCACCATAACTTCCCCTGAATATAAATGAGGATCAGGAGAAAACAAGCAAGCATTGACCTTTCTACTATCAATTTCTGCAAAATCAGGTGAACTTGAATCTGTTCCACTGGTAGAACCTAGAGAAAAAGTGGATGACTCAAATGAAACAAATAGCTTAGCAAAAGTATGTTAAATGATATCTAAAGCATTGTTTTGAGTTTAAAACATGATATCACCTTTAGAAGGTAATTTCTGATCAGTACAGATAAGACCAAGACCGTCTTTCTTCTGAACAAGTACATTCAGCTCATCCAAATTATAGCACGAGGGAATGACACAGTTATGTTCTTTCATTTCATTGACAGAGGTTGAGAGTGCTAGAGAAAATCCAGTACAATTGTACAACAAAAACGGAACAGATATGAGAATTTCACGAGCTCCAGAGACCGCGTCCATTACCTTCTCCATTGTAACATATAATGGACCTACATCATTTCATTTTAGCTTCTAAATAAACCTAAATAACACCAAATATCCCAATTGGTATACAATGTAACAACAATTTCGACATACCATCGGAAGAATCGGGATCGAAATTTGATAATTTCAGAAATTGAGAACTTAGTTCCACTGAATTTAGCTTTTTCACTAAATGATTCAGCACGGAGATACTTCAGAGTTGAAGGCTTAAATCCATGCATGTGGAATGTTATCGACAGATCATGGGAAGAATCAATATGATAGAAAGAAGTCTCAATCTGAAAATGAAACTGAAAACATTATATCCGAGAGGGAATATCCCTAATAAATTAGCAGGCATAAAGAAATATTTAGTCATTTACTGGACAATAATAACATATATTTCAAGCTAGTCCAAACCTCAGAAAGAAAGGCAGTACGTGAAACACCAGCATCTTCCAATGTCACGGACATTGATTTCATGAGATAGTTTTTCAACACTAGTGGGCTAGTTAACATCACTTGGTACAGAAACCGATTCCTTGGTATCTCCAAACTGTTGGAGGATGGATTATGAAGTTTATGAGATTGTTTACCCCTATCAACATTAACTGGCAAATATAACCCTTTCATTCTGCCAACTGGAGGCAGGCACTGATCATTCACAGAAATGCAACAGCGAAATGCGTCACTGCTAGGATGAGAAGGATAGCAAACAAAAGAACGCAAAAATCCAATCCTGACATCTTGACTTATAATACTTGAGATATTATAAGCTTCACTCCATAGGTGTGAATCGCCAAGAGGACGGCAACGAATGCAGCCTGCTTCAGCCAGATGAAGAGGGAGAGGAAACTCTTGGCCAGGATATATCGGGCCTAAAATCTAAACATGAAATGTTAGAAATATAAAGCCAGCACATGACCATCCAGTTCCTCATATGAGAATCATAAACTAAGAAACCAACTAAATTTTGTGAATTACCTTTGGAGCAATACCAAATGGAATATCAAACCGGACTTCAAGCAACAAAGAAGTTGAATTTAAAATTACAACCTGAAAGCAAAGAGTTTCTAAGAACCTAAAAGAATCAAAACCATATTAAAAGAGGCCAGAATTGGGACATACTGTTGAATATAATCGCATCAATTTTGTAAACCGCTGTACAGAAACGTCAATCACTACAGGAATTCCAAACCCTCTAACTGCATCTGTCCCACCATCTCCTTCGACTTTTTTATGTCTTTTCGTAGAATTTACATCACTGTAAATTTCCGAAACATGTGATGATTTGGAAAATTCAACCTCGAAGTATCTGCGGCCAACAAGATCCATTGAAATAGGGGCTGAAGGTACAGAGGTACCCTCCAGTTGGAAAGTAACATATCTATGTGCTGCCTCAAGTAATTGCTTGTCATTGAGTTTATCAGAAGACTGCACTGGTCTATAGCGGAAAAGTAGGTCCTCGGGTGATTCATTGATGTAAACAAGAGTAGAAGAACCAGGTTGCAGGACACCTTTCGATGGAGACACATCCAAATCATCAGCCCCAAGTTTCCTTTGGCAAACACAAAAAACAAGAGGCACAGTAGTTAAATTTTGTAGCATGTATGGAGCATATCTTCTCGTCTCTGGACCTTTCATTATTTCAAAACTTGAGATATGTGAACTTTCTGTCTCCATAAAGCTCCATGCATCCTTGATCATCTCATTTGCCCTCGAAACGACCTTATTTAAGCAACTTTGAGTGCTTAGTTATACATTAGAGGTAAATAGAACTTAGAAGAGGAAAAATGATAACACCAACAAAAAAAAAACAAAAAACCAAAAGAAATGAAATGAAAAAAGAAGGCTCAAGAAGACCTAGTGATCAAGAAAATATGTGATAGTTAAACTTGGCAGTTGATCTAGTTAGCATGATACATTTGATAGAAAACGAACCAATAATATACAGGAACTCAAAGTATCCCTCGAGAAGAAGATGTGGTTAAACTTCACCTAAAACAATAGAAACGCGAAAAGAGATACCTCAATTATGGATTCGTTTAGATTCAAATTGAGATTCGTCTTAGATTCAAGATTGATGACTGACATCATAGCACCACTAAAGAGAGCGTTCTCGTCCTGCTTCCTACTCATACTCAACTGAAATTTCCAAGGCTCCAAAAAGGGCTCCCACAAGACCTGAAGTGGTATTATCATGTTAAAACAGAACCCCAGATTACAAGTCAGAATTAATACAGGATAATGATCATTCCTACCTTGTCAATGCTGTAGTAGTTCACTTGAAAATCACAACCAACCGATCCTTCAATTTCATCCTCAATTACAGTGGACCAAAAATAGGAGTTTCTCAGCAAAAACTCCAGCAATGGTCCATTAGAATTCCCCTACATAACAAAAAGAAAAGGAAGCATGAAAACTTAGAATTGCTACATTTATCAGTTCACTTAGAACACAATCACACAAAACCCAAACTTGACTTTAACTAGTCATAGTATATTGAGAAATGAAGTTATGCAGATCCTGATTTGATAACATGAAAAGAAGATTAATTCAAAAGAAACAATTAAGATGATGTTTTTGTTCTTAAGGATTAGATCACTTCTCCAAGGACAGTATCACAGAGAGAGAAAAGAGTCTAACAACATCCAACTTCTACGAAGTTGGACAGGTTGATATAATGAGCTAAGCAAGGAGTAAATTCACCTTTCGCTATGTGCCTCGCTATTACTTTCTGCCAAACAGGTAAATGGAAGGGAACCCATCCCATTCCTATCCCTCTACACTCCCAATCTCCTCACTAAATACAGTCTTAAGCAACCATATTAATAGAATTTATATTCACCAGACCCCTCCCTTCCAACCATACATTTACAAGACCATATTTTTTCTACTCCATCAGATCTAATCATGCCCTGCCGGTTATTGACTTGAAAGCCACCATCCACCATAATATGGCAGAAAGCATCCAATTTTCAAGGGACTAATAACTTGCTCCCAACTTCTCAGTCAATCTATCACAAACATCAGCTTGTTGTTACTACCGCAACGTGACACACTATACCCCCTTGTCACCTTGATAATGTATACTTAAAACTAAAATCCAAGACAAGTTATGACACCTCAAATCTATAACCCCCTTGCCACTAGACAATGTATACGCAGATTTAAAACCCAAGACAACTTGAGCAGAATGCCATAAACAGGATTGGGTGAGACTGATATTTTCTTGTCAAGCAAAATTATGGAGGTTGGCGTAAAATGGAAAGAAACACTGCTTAGTTAAATTTCCATAGAACTTTTTTTTCATCGTCTAATCTGAATCCTCATCTGATATCATGTTTCAAAAGATTATGTCACTTCTGGTTGAGGGGTCTAGGGTGGAACCACAATGAAAGTTCAATAAACCTGAAAATTGTTGTGAAACAATAAATACATATCTTCTGTTCTCATTGTAGTTTTGGCCAATACACAGTTTTTAGCTCTAATGCTAAAAAGATACCATGACAAAAAGGTAATACAGCAGCAACAAGATTCGTATTTTTCCATTAAACTATGCAAAACCATATAATAGCTAAATTTATACAGTGTAAGCATCAAATACTTTGACTAACGCAAAATGCCTATTTTAGTAATAATAAAAGAAAAAAGAGAAGTGTCTGATTTCCATCAAAGAAAAGCAATACTGATAAAAATATTGTAGTTGCCATGCAAAGCATGACATCAGAAGAAATTTACCTTCCAATCCGTTAAAAGAAGAGAAATTTCCTTAGTTGCACTTTGATGTCCATTCTCTTGAATTTATATTGAGAAGGTGTTTCTTCTGATTTTGCAAACCATGTAAAGTGAAAGAGATAAAGAATGTGGTTTGAGATTGACAAATCCAGACTGTCGCAACGAACCAATAAACTCATGTGAACATTTTCAGTCTGATACTTCAAAATCTCAGCCTCAAGATAGATTTTAGAAAGCTGAAAAAGAGGCCAGGACTGTACATTGTTTCCCGTATATAATTTCATGATCCCATTCAAATTCCCAGAACTGATAGTCAGTTTCACAGTTTTGCCATCAGTAGCCAGTTCAGTGTTTCTACTTTGCAGGTTGAAGGAAAGAAAGCAATTCTGGTTAACACCTGCAATACTACAACACTCGTCCAAAGGCTGTTTATCATGAAAATGGGGCCTCCCAAATATGTTATCTCTATCTCTGCTGACCAGTGCAGGAAAATGAACAGTCATGCCAATATTTTCCAATGTTAGAGTAGAAAAACCAGGACAATCACTTTCCAATGCAAACTGATTTGGGTTATCACCTGCTACATATTTATTATTATCTACTGCAATGCCAGACACAGTTTCTGATGCCCCTGAGGTCAGTATAGAAAGTTGGTCACTCAAAGAACTAACTAGATCAACAACCTCATTCCAGTCAAACAAATATAGCCACACTTCCAAACAAGGAAACGACACAACTATTCGGTTCTCACCATGATCTGATACTGAAAGAATCACATCAAGAACTGAGGAGCCTGACCCAGGACAAGCAAATTCAGCAAGCAGAACAGAATTAATGAATGAAAATAGTGCCAGAGATGAGAACGAGATATCAAAACAGGGAGGTCTGCCATTCCCCAGTGATAAAGAGCACACAAAGTGCATCTCAGCCGCCGCGAACATTTCAGAACAAATTGAATCTCGTTTCGACCTGTGCAACCTTAATGATAATGAGCTTACACAGAATCTCATGTCACTGAAAGCAATGTCTGAGGTTTTAGGAAGCGATGCAGCATATTCCATCATTTGTTTCTTTGCCTGTTCAAAATCTATCAAATCAGATGTGAAAATTTTGGATGCTTCGTCCACCATGGAAAACTGATCAATGACATAACCCAGTGCACTGAATCCAGCAATGGGGCAAAGTTCTGCAATATAAGGACATTACAAAAATGAGCAAATGCGAAAAAAGCATTAGATTCTAAGTATGCTGACAATATGAAGTACAGATACCTGCAACATCAATCTGGATATCACTGACCATAGCCATGATACAAACAGGATATGAAGAAGCAACATCAGCCTCAAAACCAATGGGAATCCTCACCCACACATCTGCACTGAGTGACGGAATCAAGACGAGATTCTGGCGTCCATTCAAAGGACCGACCATATGCTCTTCCTCTAACAAAAGAGATAGAGACAGATCAACTCCAAAGAAGTCTAAACAGTGATTTCTATCACAAAGTTTGCCAGCACCAATACAGCATGCAGAAGGAATATCCTTGATTACAGAACTTCGGTTATTATTTTCAGAAAAAGCAATGCGTAACTGTGTAATATTAGCCTTTAGATACTCAGAGCAATGACTGTTAGCAGGCGTAATTACATTACAATCAACGATCTCAAAGTTATATGTAACAGTGCTTGAGTCTTCAAACCTCATGCTGCTAGTAGGCTGTTTATCTGGGCCAGGGTTCCAATACGGTTGGGAAAAATAACTTATAAAAATAGCCAGAACCTCAGAAGGCAAGATGCAGGAAACTTGCCGGATGCTGAAACTCATTTCAAGTTGCGAAGTTTGTGGACCAGTGATTGTTTTCTTCAGGTGTAAGTTTAGAACTGGAGAAAGATTTGTATATAACGGCCCCCAAAGAGATTCATTGATTATTTGAGACTGCCATGGTATGGAAAGGACTACTCCTTCAGTTGAAGAAACAATATCGAAAGAGTCCGAAGAAATGGTGCATAATGATTTTGCAAAGGGTACCAAAATAGTACCAAGAGTCCATGAGGGATCATGAAAATGCACTGTGATGCTCTGAAGGTTCAAATTGACAAGAAGCATATCAGTATCAATAAAATCTTGCGCTGAAGAATTGACAGCACTGTTACAATTCACAAGTGGAGCAGAAAGCATATTTGGCATCCCCACACAGCTAAAGTTGGAGTCTCTGAATTTCTGGCCTCTCAAATAGAGAGTTCTACTGAATCTGAGCCTCATATCTTCAACTATATTCTCCTTATTACAAAGAGAATTGAGACTCTCAGCAGTAGTGACAGGGAAGTGATTTAATGGGATGCTTGATGATTCATAAGAACCAATTTCATCCAAAAGATCGTGGGCTTCAGAACCATGTCTCCATGAGTTTTCATCTTCCAGGCCTGGTTTCCTGCCTTCAATGTCAGATTCTCCGTACACTACTATATTATCTGAAAATCGAACCAACTTCCCAACAATTAATGCATAGCAATGAATGTCAATATTATTTGCATATATTGTGTACTGTTGAAGAAATCCTTTTGTATTTCTGAGGGCTTCAAGATGCAGAACAATGCACCCATCAACAATTGAACTTCCAGGACCCAACGCTCTATTTGGACCATCAATATTCACACTCATACTGCGCTGACTTAAAGATTCAGAGCCCAGCATATTTCCAGTGGAGCAAAGTACATGGTTTGCAAAATCATCTTTTGGGGAACTAGCAGTGATCCGACAAGTCTCCACAGAGGCCCAGCACTCTGGAAAATCTCTTTGGTCGTACCTGCAATCAGGTTGGCCATGGATGAGCATAATAAAAACAAAAGGCAATGACAACATGATGCAACTTGCCAGTGGATTCCCAGATGTTTTTCATACTTCCAATATCTGTTTTGATAATTTTGTTACTTCATTCTTTATGCATGTTGTTATTAAAGTGAGAATTGACACTCTTCTATCTTTTTGGCTTTGGTCAAGTTTGTAACATGTCGCTATAGTATTGCTAATGTTCCAAATCATTTCTAGTTGTGTAGAGGCATATCTAGAACTTAGAACTAAGGAAAGTAGATGCTTTTGTTTATAGTTTGGTTCGAAGGCAACACTTCCACTTCAATATTATAATGAAAATCGATATTTTAAGTTGATGTAAAACATCACAGCTGAAAACAATTTGGCGCGTGCCTTCTCGAGCACCAACGATTGCGAACTTAATTTTACTATCACAACAAACAATGACTATCAACTAGCATATTAGGTGAGACCCAAGCAAATCACAGGTAAGAGAAATATGCAATTGGATCATTAACTACACAATGTTTTTTTTATATAGATAAAAGAGGAAAAAAAGTAATACCAGATGACTAGCTTCTGACAATGGAGGTTCAGGTTGCAGCCATCAGCCACACTATCTTCAAGATTAACTAACAAATAAACTGCATCCATATTAACATCAATAGAAAACCAGGGATGAACGGAGGTCTGCAATACATTTGATGAAGGTTCAAGTGAAGCTTTGGAGTTCGATGGAGGAAGAAGCGTATTAAACTGCTTAATGAGTCCCATAAGTTCCCCATAAATGGAAGCAGAGAAGTGAACATAAAGTGATTGAACCTGTACGTGAACCTGTAAAACCCAGCCAATAACTTATTATGCATTCACATTAGAGCCTCCATAATTTGCGTCATAATACACATCTATTTATATTGCCAGAAATCCAGTTATTTATGCATAATAGCGGCCTAGTCTGATTTGACTAGCAGATAGTCAGTAGAAAACCATAGGCAACAAAAGAGACAAATAGGATTAGTTGTATTTTTAAAAAATCAAGTTAACCCTTAGAACTAACTACTAAGGCTTTTAGTGTGATACGGGGTACTGTCTGAAGAACAATGGTAGACGTGCTTTTTCTAAAAGAGATTTTAGGAAAAGAAGCATAAAATATAGAAAATGTCTAACCCCATGAAAGGAAGGAAGCAAACAAACACAAGGATAAGGGGGTTTGACTCAAAATTAGGGTTTTAAGAAAACATTACCCAATTCGATGTAATTTTAGGTCATTATCACGCTCTAGATTTACCACCAACATCGAACAACAAACCATTTCTACATACTCCTATAGAAACTTCTGATTTTAACAGGATCTTCCGTGGGTTTCCATCCACTTTTGCATAGCAATATTCTAAGAGTTAAATCCATGTGCCAAAAACAAATGCTTTGCAAATCTCTCTTTGAAGGGAAGACCAAACCCATTTTGTGGTAAATGACAATATTTGTTCACGAAAGGATAAAAAAGGTCTGGTACATTATAATAAAAACATCTAATAATTGTACAGTACATCATCATATCTATATCCTAAATGAAGATACTCGACGTTATCACGTACCTCCAATCCTTTGAGGATTGGTTCATCGGGTAAAATACAGGATACCAAGTCTGCAGTAGCACTAAACTTTTCTAAAAGAGGGAGAGTTGCAGAAGAAGACATCATCAGGTTTATCTGCAAAACATCACATGTGAATATAAACCCATTTTAAGAACGCCAATTTGGAGAGGATATAACTGCTAACCTTTGCATCATTTATCTGGATGCCAAAATGATCATACAGATCCTCAATCTGAAACCCCATTCTGGTATCTTCAATGGAACCAGACCTATCTCCCATGTGAGAACCAGAATAGTAGTGTATTTCAGTTTTGGAAGTGAAGCAGACAGTTGCTACTTCAATTACCTATAAAATTGGATTTACTAAGAAAAACAAATAATATAATAAGATTGCTATGGATGTTAGTTACTCATGTCAGCCACTACATATGGAAGAAAGAACTAGAAACGTCATTTAACTACACAGATTTTGATCAATTGTTTCTCAAAAACGTTGGAGCTAGAATATATGGACAATCTAAACATCTCACATAATATTTGTTCTTGACACATAATATTTGTTCTTGTAAATTGAATAAAAGTCAATTGCACTATATTTAGCCTATTAAGTTTCCCTAAGATGTTTTATCCGCAGATCATTCTATTAACATACTTTACTGTGTTCAATACTATTACTTTACTATATTATGTTCTTCAACGTTAATATAATTGCTATTATTTTAACAGCATTTTAGTCTTCACTTTTACAATAACAAAGGAACGAAAAATACATACCATGTTATGTTCTTCAGTGTTAGCACTTCCACAAGGTATTTTGACGACGGTATTGATAAGATTGATATCCCATATCATTTTCTTACGACTTGATAAAACATAACTGCAAAACAAATGAGATGTAATAATGAACTCAAAAACCTGAGAGGTGAATGACAGCAAGAAACGCATTAGATATATATACATATATAAATCTAGAGAACCACAAGTAGAAAAATTAAATGCCCTTGAGAGATGAAACATACTCAATTTTTGATTGAAATCGAGAGTCGGTGTTGTCAATGTCATTCAGCGACAGCAAAATCTGCATGATCAATATACCTAAATTCAGCGAAAACATTGTCTTACAAAAAGGTAGAGCAAAAACTTTAGGAATCACTTCAATTCCTTGCAAACCAAAGGATTAAACATGCTCTTGTCAGCAGGGAAACAAAATCCAAATGATAAATGCTGAAAACATAATGAAACGTCAAAAAATGCTCCATAGAATGCCGCAATGGCATTCTAACAATTTCCCTGTTTTAGTTAATATTTAACTCTCAATATACCACACAGAAAATTATGTCAGCATAAAAGATAAAAGACTAGTACATTATGCACAAAAATGCAGTTCCTCTATCTCTCGTTTCTGGATCATAACGAAATCCAATTCCGTTATAATATGAGACTATGCACCTGCATGCTTTAAGATCAGGACTTTCTGATTCAAGACAAAGAATTCAAGAAATGCATAAGAATCTTATAGAAGAAGATAAAGATTAAGTCTATTATAGTGCAAACCTTTTTGTTCAACTGATATGAACAAACACTTAAAAACAACAGATCAGAAGCATTTCTAACAGAGACATCTCACATAAAAACATGCAATATTGTCAAGCTTCAATAGAACCAAAAACAAATAATACCTCGAGTAGATTTGAACCAAAATGAGTATTCTAGTTCTTAAAAGAGAAAAAATAACAAAAATATCAAATAATTTTTAAATCAAACATAGGAATTTCATAAAAATGGAGACCCAACATATCTGACTCAGAAATAGAAAGGTCATATTACCCTTTGCTGGTGAAAGCTGAAGTTCTGCAGAATATGTAAGAAATCCAGAATATTCTTCACAAATTCTGAGTCACAGAACATTTCAATTGGACTAACGATCACCTGGATACATAAGATGCAAAAATCATCAACCCAAAAATTGCAGGCAGATAGCAGATTAAAAGCTATGGTTATTCAAAGTTAAAGGACTTAAAAGAGAAGGTAAACCACAAAACCTTCACAGACGAAGTAACATCAGCACTTGGAGGTGAAAGATCGAATTTGACATTTAAAAAAGGCTGCTGCTTTTCAAGAACAATATCCTCGGAATTGACCTGCAAAACATTTAAGTCCAATATGGTATACCAATACTGTAATAAAAAGATAAGATGCAAAACGATGCATGTGCAAACTTTGTCAATTTTTCTGGATACTATTAATCAAAGAAAATCATTATTATGGTGGCATGTATGTGAACTGCCTTTCTTGCAACTATTAAGCAGTTGCAAGACCTGGTTGTTGCGATTTTCTTACAACTAGTTGTATTCTATACTTCTAAACAATCTATCTTCTCCTGTAACATCTTAACAGAAATGAAATGCCATTTACGGTTAGAAAATTGCTATTTGCGGTTTATAACAAAACCCCCCAAAACATTCCAAAAAAATCCAAAAACCCCCCAAACTGCAAATAGCCAAAAAAAAAAAAAAATTGAAAATTCGAAATCAAGCTTGAAGAAGGGTTGGGCTTCGATTTTTTGATGTAATTTCGCCTCTTTTATGTGTAATATGCATTGGGTAGGTCGATTACGGAACCAATTTCATGTTAAAAAACCCTACAAATCGATTTGTAGGGCTTTTTTTTCGCAAAAAAATGCTGGAACGCCCAAGATGGGCGCCCAAAAAAAAAAAAATTTTTGCACTGGACGCCCAACTCGGGCGCCCAAATGCAGCTTGCACGCCCAACTTGGGCGTGCACTGCATGAATGGGCGCCCAAGTTGGGCTTTTACGCGTTTTGGGGGGGTTTTTGGATTTTTTTGGGAAGTTTTGGGGTTTTAGAGAGATAAAGTGTTTTTTGTTATAAACCGCAAATAGCAATTTTCAAACCGCAAATAGCAAGCCCCTAAAAGACACTACATATTATAACTGGTTGTACGATTTTCCTACAACTAGCAGATAGCATTTAACATTAATTATTATAATTGCTAGAAACAGTTCCACTAGGAACCAGTACAGGTGTTCTTCGTGTAATGGTTTGGGCTTATACAAACCAATTATTTACACACACCTTCTATTTTTACACTTCCTAGGTATAATGAATAGTGAGGAAAGGATTCATCTCATTGTATTCCTAAAAGATACATAAACGTATATACATATCATTCTAAGCTAATCTAGAAAACTAGATTAATTAGTATCCCTAAATACAAGCTAATCAATCCTAGCCATTTATATAATATATTACACTCTGTAACACTAGGCATATACACTTGTGGTTACTTTTCGTCCTAGCAAGTGAAGACACAATACTAGACAGTATGACATGGACTTCAGAAGTTAATGAGAGTTGGGGGAGAGATTTGTTGGACTAAAACACCAAGGATGTAAAAGAAGCATCGTGAACTTAAAGGTCCCCACAAGGTAATACTCAAGAACAACAATACCAAGAAAATGGATCGCTATTTGCTTGCCAAGCATAACCACTACATAAGCAATTCTAGATTATAATACTTTAGTAATTTAACAACCACCACGTAAGAAATTTATAGATTATAATACCATTTACTTGCCAAGTATAAACCACTACATAAGCAAATTCTAGATTGTAATACTTAAGTAATTGAACAACCACCAGATAAGCAATTTCTAGATTATATGAGTACAGTAATTTAACAATCCCCGATCCGTCTTCTTCACTACTCTAAACAAGGAAACCCTAATAAAAATGGGCACGTTAAAGTCATCCTATATAATTATACTTCTTTAAAGTACATTTCTGTTTAACCAACTTCTAAACTTATACATGAGATAAAGGAGCAAAAAAGACCACAGTTTATACATAAGTAGAACCATATGTACCTTTTCTGTGGACAAAGCAACTAGATTATTACATGGATTAAGCAACTGAGCAGAGTTCACAAAGGTGGTAATAGTTGCCGATTTCTCCCAGACCTTTCCTTCAACATAAATTCCATGGAGCGTCAAATCAGCTATAGCCCCTCCCAGCTCCCTAAATTATACACCAATTATATATGATGATATTGAAAATGAAAGTTCAAAATTGACCCAGAATAAATTATTTTTAATTTATTTACATGACAGAATACGAATAGGACGACAAGGACCTCAAGGAACACATGATCATCAACATACGTGATCAAACAGTAGCATGACATTGCTGTCAATTTAAAACAGCAGATCTTTAAAAAGCCCTGAAACTTAGCACTGACAAGACTACGGTCCAACTTACCCAAAAGTGAATGATAAAATCCTACAAACATTCTAGCATGTAGTTCCTAACCAAATCCACTAAGTAGTCTCCCTTATTGTAATTAATAATAACAATGTAAAGAAAAGTACATTTTTATAATAATGTAATAAAGCTTTCTTGCAAAGTGTACAGCAAAATGTCAGAAGCAAAAATTGCTTCCATAAAAAATTATTCATATACTTTTATTTGCATGTGAACAAAAAAGTACTGGCATTGCTGCAATTGGGTCAAATGGAACTATGAATTCAACACGGTAGAGGACATAGAGAAATTGTGTCTATTGGACTTCAAGTGCAGCATAATACTAGAAATAAATGACATACATGCTCAGAAGCCTAGTATGAATTTCAGAAATGTTGATTTTCACTGAAGAAAAATAAACTTCATCCACCATAGCAGAATCCCCAATTAACGCAGGAGCAGGATGGAACTTTGTTGCCTCGTATATGTCCTACAGAGAGAATTCCATGTTTTCAGAACTAATGGAATATGCTAGTATAGACCCCCATTAATTCACATAATTCTTAATTCATGCATTGTCGGTAAATCCCAATTAATATATGTAAGGATACCTTGATCACATCATCTGAAATCACACCAGAAAATTGATTAGAATCATTTGTCCCCCCAGCGCCAAGCATGCCATATGATAGCCAATTCAACCATCCACGGGGCTTGGTAGGGGGGTGGTCATCTTCAATGTCTGCATTTCCATCATTGCTCCCATATCTAGATGCTGGATTAACCAAGAAATCCTACAAATGAAAAGCCATATTACTATCAAATAAAGTTCATATTTTTCATTCTCAGTTGGTTTTCAGACAGTAGCATCTATAATGAGATAGAGAGCCGGCTAAATAAGCTACAACCCCCATCAACTTACAGTTAGGAAACTGACAACCAAGATCCTACTGTCAGAAGCTAACTGGGTAAGAAATGTGATAAGAACTTAAGGACCTATTAATCAGCAGCATTACCTCTAGTTCACATTCAGCAACAGATCTGTAATTCAAAATGTCATCTATATCAGTTTCTTTCTCCATTTCCTCCAAAATGTGCTGAACATCTTCTTCCACCACCTGATGATAGTGAATGCATTGAATTGTGTGAGTAAGAGCAAGAGAGGAAAAATGAACATAAAAATAGCCAAATAAAGATCATAAAGCATCACCCATATTATACTCTTCAATAATACCTCAAAAAAAGGAAGTTATGCTACAGAGACAGTGGATGAAGCAGCTCAAACTTGCTTCAAGTACCATCTCTGGCAGTCAGAAGGTGCATGAATAAGAATTGAAATGACATTTATTGCAACATATAACTTTTAAGTTCAAAATCTCATCATATATGGTGTTCCCTCTGTTCCGCAATGAAGTTTAAATCATAAACACTTCAAGATATTCCTCTGTATAATGCGATAAAGGAAAATGTGTTTATATTGAGAAGTAATCTGATCAAATTAGAGTCTCATTTGACATTTCATTCTTTTTGCTTTAATTTATGACTAATATCGTTTTCTTTTGAGTAAAATAATGAGACTCAAAATGTATCGCAAAGATTACCAGGGGAAAGTGTTATCATGAAAATGTGTCGAAATTGGAGAGTTAGAAGAGAATTGAGTTGATTTAACATTTGATATTGGAACATGTTTCTTTTACCTGTTTTCAAATTTAAAATTAGAGATATTTCCTAAAAGACATAGTAGGATTTAAGGAAATAAGCATTCTGAAAAATAGGACGCCTAATAATACCAAGTACATCCGTACACTAGCCTTTTCAAATGAGACTCCTAAATAACCTCTCAAATTACCCAATATGACCTCTCCCTGCCATTACTCACCTACAAGCATATTAATGTGTCTGCTGTCCTCGTCTCCAATGTCTATTTGTTAAACATTCAAGGAATGGGTCAGTCAAACTAGGCTCAATAAGCCAACATAATTTCTCAAGTTAGATACGTGCTTGAGTGCAATAATGCACATGAAATCAAAATAAGTAGATAGCAAATAACATACTAAACAGTTTTTAGACATAGAAAACGCTTGATAACTTGCATGACAATTGGAAGCTTTCTTCTTAAAGTTTGTGTTAACTCATTCTCCTACTGCTGGATCCGTCATCAGTTAGCTCATTAAAAAAATAGAGATTACCCAAAACTATCCACCCACAAACAACTGGATCCTGCAAGGCCGAAGCAAACTTCGGCAAATGCATTTGACAAAATATAAGACAGTTTTTAACACATTATTCCTATGAAGAGATAACTTAACGTAATAATATTAAGCTTAGTTTGTTATGAAGCTGACTTCCATCCCATAACAGATGCGATAAAATAGGTCAAAGAAATATAAAAAAGGAATACAAATGTTAAAAATTTTACACATATTCTAGTAAAAAGATTTTACTTGTGTGTTAGAGCAAAATCTAGTTTTGTAAAGCATAAATTTATTTTTTACAATAAAAATTCAAATCGAAGTAGGGGTGGGGTGAGATTTGAACCCTGGACCTTTACCCTAATAGTAAAGGCTGGGTATCACAACTCTCCTAATCGGAGTTGGTGTAAAAGCTGAATCAACAGAACCTAAAATTCCTTGTAATTTCCTTTCTTAATGAAGGAAAAAAATTAAGTTTTGAAAAATAATATGATGTGAAAATAAAAAATAAACAAATAGGTATTTATATTATATTATATATATATATATATATATATATATATATATATATATATATATATATATATATAAAGCAAGTATCGAATAACTATATCTTAACAGACTTGCCTTTTTTCCTTAAGTTTAAATAAATAGAACTCCTTGATCTTTTCAAATAGAGTATCCTGATATTCTTTTTTTGCTAATCCTGGAACAGGTATTTATGATACTTAAACTTAATATTCTCATTCGCTCTTCATGCCCTCTTAATTTATCAGATAATCTTGAGCACAAATTCAACATATGGCTTGTGTTTATGTGTATGTATCAGCAACTACGGGAAATCAACGGTCTTACCTGATCGTGTCTGAGACATTTCAATTTGGCCTTATACAAGTTGACATACTTCCTGCGAGAGTTCCTGCAGAGAAAATTCAAAAATACTAAGATAGCAGTTTTCCATAACAAGTTCATCTAAAGTAATCAGCATTCCAGAAGATTAAAGATGAAGGTTGCAGAGATCAACTTACAGCCTCTCTCCTAAGTACTTCCAGGATGTCTTTCTCAAACTCCTTCGAACATCAGAAAGAACAGACTTCTGAGCGTAGTGCCACCATAATTTCTGCCATCCCTTCATCCTTTTCCCTATAGGGCTCCACCAAGGACGATAACGTCCATATCTGCAACATGAAAACAACAAAGCATATCATTTTAATAGTAACCATGACCCATCACGAATGACAAATAAAGATAACAAATAAAGAGGGTGAAATTAACAAGTGAGAGCAAATGTGAAAGAAAAATGTAAAGAATAGCCCCTACAAACACGAAGATATGAGTGGGCAACACATCGACAGACTGCAGTTCAGGAAAAAAAATATACATAAAACCAGTTATTTTTCTTGTAAGGCTAATTCTAGGTCATTTCTTCACGAGAAAGGGACGAGATTAAGGTAAAATAGGTCCAAGAAATCTTCCAAGTAAGTTTATCAGGACGCATGGACAGCAAAGTAAATAAATAGTGCTGTGGAGAACAAAGAGGACAGGTGGTATGTAAAGGAGGAGACACAGATGAGTTAAAAATGATGTAGAGAACACAGATAGTTAAATGTTCACAAAAATAGTGGTTGAAAACATATTCCTTGCATAAACAATAGCAATGAGCTTACAATATGAAGTTTCTAAACAAGTCAATGTTGGGTAGAAAGTTGAATCATAACAACACACAGAGTTGATAGTTTTACTCAATCCACCATATCCGAAACTATGACAGAAGTAGGCATAAATCCTCATCGTAAGCGAAACCGGAAAGTAAAATTCATGAATCAGCCTAACAACATCTCAAAGAAGTGCCAATTGATATTGTTATGCTGGTATATATCATGGCAGGGACCATATACTTTTTCTGTGTAATACTGATAAAGAAGAAATTGTCAGAAACTGGGCGTTACTTATTGAATCATATTCTTCTTCCTTACCAAGAAAAGTCAATGGATTTTATTCCTGGCTTCCCTGAATAATTTCTCTTTTAGGAAAAGACTCAAGAAATATCTGAACTTGATCAAAGAGAAATAGAAGTCACAACCTAAACCCAAGCCTGATGGAGCTTTCAGGGTTGACATGCTATATTTTACATCTCAATTCAGAAGTAGAAGTCAGATATCAATCAAACTCTTCGGCTACCTAAAGACTACAGCAACCTAAACAGTTCTTTATTTACAATTTTCAACTTCACAAAATAATATTGTATCATAAGCATCTAACATGTAAAAGTAAATTTAACAGTGTTGTATCATAAGCCTCAAATGAAAACAAATTAAATTTAACACTGTTGGTATAATAGTTCACATTCAAGTTTCAGAACTCTAAGCTTCCAACAGATTAAACACTGAAAGAAAACAAAAGATAGCACGATTTGAAATTATCATTTCCAATTTCAGAACTGCAAATCTCTAAGCTGAGAACAAAATAAAATAAATAGATAAAATAGAAGATAGTGCCCCAAACTTACTTCTCTCTCAATCGACTTAAAGACATATAGTCACAAAGAGACAGTATCTGTTGCAGCTGAACCTCGTCCATTAAGGTGGTCTACCAATAGTACAGTAAAAAGATATTAATCAATAAGATTCATCATAACAATGAAAATGAAACTATATTCAAGAAATTTCAATGCATAATGAACATACCACACGAGCCAACTCAACATCCATATTATATTGTGGAGCATCATTTAATAGTTTACCTGATCTGTTTACCTACATTAAATTGCAAAAGGCTAAAGTCAATAAAAAGCAGATGCAGACGCAAAGAAACAGTATCTGTTTACCTGATCCATAAAAGTTGTTTCACTTTTAACATAAAGAAGCTATCTATCTAGTATATGAAATAAAACGAAAAGGCATACAAAAAGATAGGTGTCGCATTAAGCACATCATCATCATGTACACGAGACAGCATTTAAGATCAAAATCCTAACAGACACTGGATACTTGAATACAAAAATTGATGGATATGTATCATTATAAGAGATCATAGTGACAACAATACCATGTTTATTCAAGATTAAATTAGTGCAGTCAATATATTAAGAGTTAAAAAAGCATTACTTGATCGAAAAATATATATTATTCTATTAGAGAATTTTTAAACGTGGACTTTACCCCAAATATTCAGGGAGAAGGTACATAAAATGTATTAGAACTTGTAAACAAGAGTAGATTGAATAATACACTGACAAAAACTCACGCAATGTCCCACCATTTTGTCAGAGAACAGAGTTTTCTACCTTTTCCAAGTTCCGTACACTTATACATATTCATGTTCCAATTACGTGGCCAGAAATCAAATGGGTTTGTAGTTACAGAATCCAAGTAACACTGACAACAATGCAAGTTTCAAATTATATAGCTACGCGAGTTTCAGATTTATAAAGAAACATATGCACCAAGATGTATGTCAAACATCTAAACATAAAATATTGACTTCCTCATGCGGCTTGGGCATAAATATTGTTTGAGGAGAATAAGTTTCAAACAAAGGACAAGCTACAATTCTGTCACTCATTATAAACTGTGCCACCAAAGAATAATCTATTGCAGCAACGTTGAGATGTAAAATATAACATCATACATAATATTTTGTGTACAATACAGCAGCCAGCCTTGCTTACCGACAGAGACACTGATACATTCAGTGGAGCTAACAAAGAGGAATAATTGTCTTCTTTTAGCAATTCCCTTCCCATGTTCTTGTAACCCACCACATTCTCTGTATTCGAATCATCAGTTTTCTCAAAAGTATCATAGTAAAGTTCTAAGTTCTGAACTTCAATCAATTTGTTGACTTGACCCCCTCTGAGTTTTGCACTTGAAGATCTGAACATAACAAAAATGTACATATATGAAAAGTTGAAATAACACTAAGATAAAAAAATGTACAAATTCCAACTTTCTGAAAGATGTAAAGGTGGCCAAACTGCCGATCCAATGGAAATAAAAACAGTTTATCCTGCGTAAGTTACACTTGAGAATAGGATGGGTATTTTGTGTACTAGAATGTATTTTATTCACTTAGGCTTGACGTACATTATACAAAAGTATGGCTCCAAGTAAACTTTACTAACTTATTTAATAATTAAGACGGAGGAAGTTGGTGATATATGTCAAAACATGATTTAATGCGTTTAGAAAAACTCAAAGAAAAGCCAAAAAATGTAGGAAAGATTCACGGTATGCCACCAGGCTTCACAAGACAGAAAAACAAACAGATATGAACGGCATAATTTATATGGCGGTAGTAAAATGTAAGTCGCCCTGAGAAAGAAAACTGGCCAAACATAGCTTCCATAATTTTTATTATGTTGGTATATGTTTTTATGTTTGTAGCTCTTAGAAGCCTAAGTAACTAACAGGTGTCATTTGGTTCTTCGTGTGCCCAGGCTCAGCAGAAAATTCCTACTCTAATGAAGACCAACAATCACAACCCGCGGTCATATCAATATCTCCATCAAACTTCTTAATTTCTACTAACTAAATTTATTTTTCTACCAACTTCAGGGACCTTGTCCTCCAGAGTCGTATTTAATCCAATCCCAACTGAACATTCCGCCACTAACATAGAAACCATAATAATAAAATTTGTGACATGCAACTGCATTTCACACTTACCTTTTACCACTGCAGGGAAAAAAAAAAGACAAACAAACAAAC